GGGGGGGCTCTTACAGCTCTTATAACAACCCATGCATCAATTGTAGCAATCATATTTGTACATATGTTGCCATCATTATTTTCTAAGCATTCACTTTCTGCTTGAGCCCTTGGTATCAGCAACTTTTTCTCCCTCCCCCTCCCACCCTCATGACCCCTTGATAAATTATTATTATTTTCATAGCTTACACCGACCTCTGTCTCCCTTCCCTTGTGGTTTCTGTTGTCCCTCCCCCTGGGTGTGGGGTGGGGTTATGTGTTGATCATTACAAATAGGTTCCCCCCTTCCTCCACTTCTTTCCCCACCTACCCTCCTGGTATCGCTACTCCCATTTCTGTTCCTGAAGGGTTTATCTGGCTTGGATTCCATGTCATGAGCTCTTATTTGTACCAGTGTACATGCTCTGGTCTAGCCAGGACTGAAAGGCAGGACTTGGGTCATGATAAGGGATGTGAAGAACCCTCAAGGAACCAGAGGAATATTATGTGTTTCACCGGTGCTATACTGCACCCCGGTTGACTCATCCCTTCCTTGTGACCCTTCTGTGAGGGGATGTCCTCTTTTCTACAGATGGGTTTGGCGTCTCTGCTCCACCCCCACCTCGTTCTCAACAATATGGTCTTTTTGTTTATTTGTTTTGGGTCTTCTGATGTCTGTTACCTGACCCCATTGACACCTCATGACTAGCTCTTATACCATAGAATTTGTTTCTTTGCCTTGGAACATTATTTACTTGTAAAATAAAGAATATATTAAGCAAAGAAAAAGTTTTATTATGAAATCAGTGCAATTATATTAGGGGATCTTGTAAAAATGTAAGACTTCAAAGCAAATCTGTGTTGCATCACTCTGTTTCGTAAACTGAAGGGTCCAGAGGACCCAACAGAAAACAGTTGCCTCAGGTGCATAAAGCAGAAATGCTGTGGGATTTTTCTCCAGTGAAAGCCCAATCTGAAAGATTTACTGTCACTTCATGAAAATGTGTATTGGTGTACACTATACATTTTAGCTTCTCCGTGGTCTGCCAGCTTATTCTCTGAGTATGTGAGAGAAATTAAGGGCCTCATCAAGGAAAGGAAAATAAAGCAATATAAATTGCATGCTTTCACTAACGCCAAATGCTGTAAGCTTTCTAGATGATTCATTAGGGTCTTGGTGAGTCGTTAGTGCTACATTCCTGAGGTTATTCTCTTCAATGGGGCAGAGCTGTAACAGGGAGGTGTGCTCTAGAAACAAGCTACGAGGAGCCGAGAATTGTGTCAGTGGTTCTGTTTCCCTTATAACAGTAACTCGTCTTGAGACTTTGAGAACATGTTTTAACATGTACGGCCCTAAAGTGTCTGGAAGTTAATCTAATACAAGAATTGGATCTCAAAAAAAAAAAAGAAAAATGGATCTTTGAACAATGTACTTTCTCAAAACTATCCACTTGTAGCCTCAAATGCTAAGATATAACCTTGGGTTTTTGACTAATCCAGTGGTTCTCAACCTTCCTAATGCTGCGACCCTTTAATACAGTTCCTTGTGTTGTGGTGACTGCCAACCACAAAATTATTTTTGTTGCTACTTCACACTGTTATTTTGCTATTGTTATGAATCATAATGTAAATATGTGATATGCACGATGTATTTTCATTGTTACAAATTAAACATAATTAAAGCATAGTGATTAATCACAAAAACGCTATGTACTTATATATTGTGAAGTATTTATTTCTAATTACAAATAAATGAAATTTTGTTTGGAAGCATGGTGTAGCATGGGTAACAGGCTTCATGCCGGGTACTCACATGTGGGCAGACTCGCCTGGAGGCAGATAGAGGAGCTGTGTCTTGATTCCTAAAACCATCAAATGTTTTCCATGGTCTTAGGCAACCCCGGTAAAAGAGTCGTTCGACCCCCAAAGGGGTTACGACCCACAGGTTAACCACTGGACTAATTAAATCCTGCTGAGTTCATTGGCTATCTCAGGAAAAATTTTATTAAGAAAAAGATAAATTACTAGTGTCCTGAATGGCCCTATATTTATCACCAAAAAATCATCAGAAACCAAATCCAATGTTGTTGATTCAAATCTGATACAGCAACCCTACTGAACAGAGTAGAACTGTACCATAAGGTTTCCAAGGGTAATGCTGGGTTTTTGTTGTTGTTGTTGCTTTAAAAAAATTTTTTAAATTGTGAACTGGATGAAGGTTTACATAGGCAGATTAGCTTGCCATTAAAAAATTCATAATTATTTTGTTTTGTGTCATTGATTGAAATTCTGGAAATGTACTATCACCTCTCCCACTTCCTTTCTGTGTTCTCTGGTTTCCTTTCTCCTTCTTTCCTGACATTTCTATAATTTTTTCCTTGGGTACATGCTGCTGTTTCATCTTCAGTGGTTGATGATTATGAGGTGGGCCTCACTAATGACAAAGTTACATCTTTATGGAAGCCAACTGCCACATCTTTCTCCCACAGAGAGATTGATGGGTTTGAATGCCAACGTTTCAGTTAGCAGTCAAGTGCTTTAACCCACTGCACTGCCAGGGCTCTCTATATTAACACAAAGCACAATAAAAGTAAAAAAGAAACAACTTACCAGAGAGCCACAAAATAAGCAGGGACCAGAGCCCTCTTGTTCACAGACAATCCGCCCACAGATGAGGCAGTTATTGATGAGTTTGTGCTTCTGACCCAGGCAATCACAAGGGTGGCGGCCAGGGAGCAGGACTGCAAGCCTGTCCTGTCCTTCTTTGGTGTATAAATTGACAAATTTCGTCTTCTTCTTTAAGGAGTTACAATTCTCTTGTGCCTAATGTACCAAGACACCAGAATTAGCATCAAACAATTAAAGGCAATGAAAATAATCAAGGGAGAACAACCTCTACCTCTGTCCAATAATTTATACACTTCCTAAGAACTACGAAAGAAGGAAAGGAGTGGAAGAAATACAAGTTAGTTACATTCAAAGGTACTGAGGAGGGTTCATAATCATCAAAAACTACTTAGTCATGAATTATCTTACCTTTGTGTGCTAGTATCATTCAGTTCCCTATAATGGCTGGTAGAAAGTAAATGTTGCAGCCAAGGTTGTATTTGTGATATTTTTAAGCACAGCTAGATTGGAGATCATAAGAAACAAGGCTGTATCTAAAAGCAGGTAATATTAATGGCTTTGGAAATATGGACAATAAATAAAGTAAGAAAAAAAATTTAATTGACCCAATAAAAAATCAGTAAGAAAAAGACAAATAACACAATGGATGAAAGATCTAAAGAGGCACTTCATAAAATGTATATTTATCCCAATGACCAAGAGACACATCAATAATGTTGAATTTCATTGGGAAAATGGAAACTAAAACCACAATGTGATCCGCTACCACTACATGCCAACCAGAATGGCTAAATTGAAAATAGCAGAAAATATAAAGTATTGATGAGAATATAGAAGTATTAGAATGATAATACTGGTAGGAGTGCAAACACATATCTTCTAGAGCAGAACATATGTGTATCTTGTTGCCCAGTAATTAATAGCAGAGTGGATAAAATGTGATGCACTCACTAGATTCTAAGGTAGCAAAGAGCTAAAGATTTTATCCAATATAGCAGGTTGCCTTTAAAAAAAATTCAATATCTTTAGCACTCAGGAAGGGTGGTGAGAAAATTTAAAATCTCTACGCCCAAGATATTGACCCCATTAAAGTACCTGGTTGGATTAAAGTAACATATTTGAGGAATTTTGGGAATGAGTTTTCTTGCAAGTAATTGGCAATAAGTATTTATTGGAAGACAGACAAGAGGAGGCAAACAAAACTGTGACAGCATATCGTCCTAAAACCAGAAACCTCCACTGGCTTCCTGTTAGGCTAAATAAAACCCAAATGACTTTTCATGGTCTACAAAACCCTACATCTGGCTTTTCAGTACTTTGTTACCTTTTCATAGCTTTCTTTTCTTGTTTACCATGCTGCAGCCACACAGGCCCTCGGACACTTGCTAGAACGTCCCCTATCCCACCCCTGGCATTTGTTAGAACTAATAAGTGTTAGAACTAATAAATGTCAGTTCCTCGTGCTCCTAGTCCCAAGCCTCACATACTGGCACCCCTTAGTATTCAGAGGTCTTAGCTATAATTAATTGTATCTGAATACCCCATCTAAACTCACTCCCATCCTACTAATTACCGCCATCATACCACCCTCTTTATTCCCTATGGCACTTTGCATAGTCTATAAACACCTCTTTTTGTTTCTTTATTTGCTCTGTTTTCTCAATAAAATGTAAACTCTAGGGAAACAAGAAAGTCTAATTGGCCTTGTTTATTGATTTATCTCCAATGCCTACATCAGCATTTGGCACAGAGCAGAAGCCAAGAAAAGTTTCTGACTAACTACATGAATTGCCTGTGGAAGATAAAATTTACTTACAGGTCCGATACAACCATAATCCTATAGCTCAACCTTCGGTCCCAAAATAGATAGGTTAATTTGGCAAAGGATATCAATAATGGCTGTACAATACAAATAATATAATCAATGACACTGAATTATACTAGGAGATGTTGTGGAATTGGAGAATGTTCTGTGTATATTATTGCCACAATTAGAAAAAAAAACAATTACATGAATAACAATGACTACAAGGAAGAAGAAAATGTTCTAGAATTGAGTCTGATGACAATGTGTACAAATCTTTTTTTTCAACTTCTATCGATATGATTGGATTATTGAATTGTATGACAGGTGAATGAAGTGTTAATAAAATGGTTTAAAAAAATAGACTGGCCTAGAGGGAAACAATAGCCCCAGGGAGATATGCACTCTTTAAAACAACCCGCTGGCCATATGAGAGAAAAACAATCGGTCACTTGAGATCACGTGCTCAGGGACAGCTCAGAAGCAGGAAAGGATAGGAAAGACAGACAGACAATGGAGCAGGAAACACAGGAAGGAAGTGGGAAAAGGGATGTTACTTTGTGGGGTCTGCTGCAGTCAGTCACACAAAGCAAAACATCAAGGAATTGTTCATTAGAGAACCAATTTGCTCTGTAAAGTTTTACTCAAATCACAATAAAAAGTTTTTTAAAATGCAACCATAAATAGTTGTAGGGTATAAAACACATTTTCAAACTTTTTCCCCAAGCCTGCTATATATTTCTTTTTTTTTTTTTTGCTATATATTTCTAAAATCACTTTATTGGGGGTGGGTATCGCTCTTACCACAATCCATACATATATACATTGTGTCAAGCACATTTGTACATATGTTACCATCATCATTTTCAAAACACTTTCTTTCTACTTGAGCCCTTGGTATCAGTTCGTCATTTTTTTTCCCTCCTTCCCCTGCCCCCATGAACCTTTGATAATTTATAAAATTTTTTTTTTTTCATCTTACACCGACCGCTGTCTCTCTTCACCCACTTTTCTGTTGTCCATCACCCTGTCTGGAAGGGGGCCATAGGTCGATCATTGTGATCGGTTTCCCACCCCGCCCCCCTTCCCTTATCCTCCTAGTATCATTACTCCCATTAGGTCCTGAGGGGGTTATCTGTTGTGGAATCCCTGTGTTGTGAGCTCTTATCTGCATCAGTGTACATGTTCTGGTCTAGTCAGATTTGCAAGGTAGAATTGGGGTCATGATAGTGGGCGGGGAGTTGGGGGGAGCATTAAAGAACTAGAGGAAAGTTGTGTATTTCGTTGGTGCTGCTATACAGCACCCTAACTGGCTTGCCTCTTGCTTGTAGCCCTTTTGACAGGGGATGTTCAATTGACTACTGATGGGGTTTGGGTCTCCACTCTGCCCTCCCCTCATTCACAACAATATGATTTATTTGGTTTTGTTTGGGTCTTTGATACCTGATACCTGATTCCATCGACACCTCATGATCACACAGGTTGGTGTGTTTCTTTCCATGTGGGGTCTGTTGCTTCTTAGCTAGATGGCTGCTTGTTTATTCTCAAGCCTTTAAGACCCCAGACGCTATATCTTCTGATAGCCGGCTTCACCACTATCTGCTATGCACCCATTTTGTCTTTAGCTATTGTGTCAGGAAAGGTGAACATCACAAAGTGCCAAGTTAGTAGAGCAAAGTGTTCTTGCATTGAGGGAGTACTTGAGTGGAGGCCCAATGTCCATCTGCTGCCGTATACTTTATAAATAAATATACGTACATAGATCTATTCCCCTGTCATTATATATAAATGTATTTACATATATATATATATATATGCCTGTATTTAGACCTCTATAAATGTCCTTTGCCTCTCAGTTCTTTTCCCTATTTCCTTTTTACTTTCTTCTTGTTCCACTATCATGTTCAGCCTTTGTTTAGGTTCTCAAGCTTGCTTTTAATGAGTGCAAAAACAGGCAAAGATAAAGTATAGAACCAGAAACAGGTTTCTGACATGTATGTAGAATTAAAATACCAAGAGACATGAAATTAAATGTTAAATCATTATTAATTTGAAGATCTTTACCCATCCAAGTCTGGGAATACAAGGGTGAATCAGAGCTTTTATTATACCTTATTAAACCTACTTAATAACAATCATCAAGGCAAGTTAGTATTCATTAAGGTCCATTAGTATATAAAGTAAAACACTTTGACAAACTAAAATTGGCATCTGCAGTACTAATAAGCTAAATGGTAGTGATAAGAATATTATATAGCCAATGTATGCAGCTTTAGTATAGATTCATAAATGAGTGTGCTGACTAAACAGATTAGGGCAAAATAGAGTAAATTAACTTATCAAAACAATTCACTGCCATCAAGTCAGTTCTGACGCATCCAGACCTACATAGGGTTTCCAAGACTATAAATCTTCAGGGGAGTAGATAGTTTCCTCTTTCTTCTGGGGAGTAGCTAGTGTGTTTGAGCTGCAGACCTTGTGATCCCTTTCAAAGAGATCAGCAGTAGGATCGGGCACAAGATAATTTTTCTGGTCTCAGGGTTGTGTAGGCTGAGGTTCACATGGTCCATTAGTCCTTTGGATTAATTGTCTCCCTGATTCATTGATTTTCTCCACTATTTATTGCTCCGAATGGGAAGAGATCAATAATTGCATCTTAGTGCATTTCCATTTTAGCTTAATTAACTAGTCACTTCATTTTGGCAATTTAGGCTGTCAAACTGTCATAATTATAAATATTTCTGCTCACCCCACAGGGCTATATTAAGAATAAAATTAAAGAATCTGAAAAAGTTCTATAAGGTAAATTAAGGAAATTATGCTGGTGGTGAAGCCGAGTTCAAAATAGGAGCACTCTTTAACAACAACTAGAACTTTGTTTTGTTTTGTTTTTTAAAATAAACAGCAAATGCCGCAACTGAAGTGCTGGCGCTCTTTCTTAAATATTTTCCATTCTATATAAAACCAAAACACAAAACCTACTGCCTCAATTCGGCCCAGTAAAGGCTATGACATACCCCCTAGGGCTTCCAAGGTTCTAAATCTCTGTCAAAGTGGACTACCTATCTTTCTCCCTCAGAGCAGTTCGTGAATTTGACTGTTGCCTTTTTTGGGGTTAGCAATTGAGTGCCTTTAACTGCTGTACCACTGGAGATCTTATGTCATATACAGAGATATTTCATCTCTGTATCTCCTCTCTCAGCAAAGATGTTCTGATAATCATGATTTAATCATACCGCCAAAAGAAATCTAGTACATAGGAAGCATTATGTCATAATTAACATTTTTTTCTCATGTATCTGTTGAAAAATTGCCATCCTAGGCCAATTTGCACATTTTGCTCTCTGAAATGCATTAGTCACATCTTGTACTGTACGAGGCAGAAAAAGCCCTTCATTCCATAAGCACTCACCTTGGCCAAATCAAAAGGTGTTTTGACCTCTATGGGTGTGTCAGGTTCAGCAAACGTAGGGATTTCCTGCCGGTTTCTCCCTTTCCGTCTAGTTCTCTTTATCTGGTCTCCTGATTTTTGCATATCTAAATTTTCTTTAAAGAAAAATAAATAGATATAAAAGTATACACACAACCAAAACAAAATCCAAGGCCATCGAGTCAATTCTGCAACCTCAATTAGGTTTCCTGAATGGCAAATCTTTTCAGGAGCATATTGCCTCATCTTTCTCCCATAGAGCAGCTGGTGAGTTTGAACTTCTTACCTTGCAGTTAGCAGTCTAACATTTACCTAAGCGCCACGAGGGCATGGCTCACTCTCTGTTGTGCACATGCTCTTCTATCTTTCTATCTCTCTATGTGTATGTATGTATACATACACAGAGACAGACTGCTAATAGCAGAATTCATTGGCAAACTTCTAGTAGCTAATAGAGAAGACAATGCTTAATATTTTGAGCCAATATATCAGGGCAGACAAACTTTCAAATTATCTTTCTCAAATCAGAATTAAAAATATTTTTTCAAATCAGAATTAAACAAGTCATCATTACCAAGAGTATTAAAATATTTTTTAAATACTTTAGGATTAAGAAACTGAATTAAAATCTGATGTAGATTGCATAACAAGCCACAGTTAGATATGAGATTCTTTAGTTTAATGCTTATTTCTTTGTGTTCTTTAACTATTTACCTTCTAAATACTATTCAGCTATTAGTCAACATTTTACTTTCATCCAGGTACAAACAGACCTGAAAAATGTTTCTTAAATCTATACATAAAATCTTCACATTATTCTGAAGCCACATTTTGTGTCTGGAAACATCCCTAAGCTGACAAAGTCTAACTACAACAACAGTTATTACAGATTGTACAAAACTGAACTACCAGCTGTGAAGAAATGTAGGGTGACAGAAAACCCCAGGTCCTGCAAGTGAGTGCTGGAAGAAAGCATAGTTCTACCTTTACATACCATCTTTTTTGAAGCACTGCAGCAAAGGATCAGAAACTGACTCTTGGCCATTATTTTGCCATTTGATTATAAGTTCCTCTATGAATTGACCTTTTTTGCCCTCATTTCCCTGGAGGAGATCAGTAACATATTCTCGTATTTCTTCAGCCGTTTCAATTGACAAAACATACCTCAGGAGAAAAAGATACAAGCAAAAGATATAACAAGGCTATCTTACATTTTTTAATAATCATATCAGAGACTAAAGTCATACAAACCAGTAATTAACCCATTAGAGTGTTACTATTGATCAATTCGAGTTCTATGCTACATGTTAAGGACAGAGATTTAATTAGACCATGATCATGACCTCAAGTAGTACTTATTGTAACTTTCATATATATTTAGCCATTTATTATTTTTCTATTTCTAGAATCACATCATTGTTGTAAAGACAGACTAATAGGGCTGTCACTAACAGGGATATTTCCTATAATTATATTTTTTGCATTCATTATATTTTCTTATAAAATACTAGTTACCAAATGCTCTATTAGAAAATCTAAAATTTCTAACACATTTTTAAGGACATTAATAGACACAATAACATGACCAGTCACTGGTTCTATTGTTTTAAAAAGTATAAGGTTTCAGTGTCAATAAACAACGTTTAGTTCTCAAATAAGTCCCAGCGTTTTCCACCTGCCTGAACACTGTGCACTGCACCTGTAGTTCGCAAGTGAAATGCCATTCCTCCTTTGAGGAAAGTGACCTTTATTTCCTGCTACCACATCTCCCCCCACCTTAGGACTCATCAAGGAAGCAACCCAATTATATTGATCATCTTTATTACCACCGTATCGGCCAAGGACAAATATTTGTTAAACAAATCAACTGAAAGCAGATAATAAACCCTGTTCATCATCGTTTCTATTTCATTAGAATCAATGGCCTAATGATAAACTTAGTTATTCATTTTATTGATGAGGAATCTAAGGTAGACGGGGGTATTTAAGTTCTCCAAGGTTACAAAAATGGGAAATCACAACAGAAAATGGAACCTGGGGCTCTGACTCAGGAGTTATTTGCACTTTACCATGACGCCTCCATTCAAAACCCTATATTACACAACTCAGAGGCGAAGTTAAAACGTATTTCTGGAAAGATCATCAGGTTGCTCCCCTTGTTCCAGGGGAGCAATACAGAAATTGGCTCCTCACAGTCTGACAGGTCTAATTGCCAGGGTTTGGGGCGTTTTCCAAGGAAAAACGGATCTCACTGACAGATTGTGGAGCCTAACGACCTATTCCAGAAGCTGAACGATAGAGTCAGAGGCCGAAATTCGGCGCCTACAGGCCGACAACAGCCCCTTATCACATTTCTTCACACTCATCAACTTTTTAGTCCACCCCGTTTCCCTGCTCCCTTTGTCAGGGTCCAGCCTCGGGGCCCGAACCGGTCTCACTGCGTGATCTCCTCGCTGACGTCCAGGCCGAAAGCTCTCCGCAACTGTTGCGTACACCACTGTACCAGCTGCTGCTGCTGCTGCTGCTGCTGGGACGCCGACCCAGCCACCGCCATCTCTCACAGCCGGAAGCAGCTGCGCGGCAGACGCCCCGTGTCCTGCGCCGGACGAGTCCCCGTGTCCTCCGCCGCACGAGTCCCCCATGCGTGCAACGTCGATTGCTCACAAACGTTCCGCCCGCCGGCGCCGCCACCCACGCTGATCCTGGACCGGTCTTTTCTTCCTCCTTGTCGGCTTACACTAGATAGAGCTTGATCTCGCGTAATGTTTCCGCATCGTGAAGTGCAGGACATGATTGGGAATTCTGCAGAGAAGAGAGCAACTCCTGTAAAAACTACAGTTTAGGAGGGGAAAAAATCCCAAGGACTTGGAAGGCCAGCTTTTAAACTGATCTGGATCAATTTTAACATTTAAAGCAGCATTTGGCAAAAGGAAGAGCTATAAGTATTGGTTCTAGTTGTTGTTATTAATGCCTACCGCCTGTAGGTGTAGGCGAGGATCCCTGGAGGCGTACTGGGCTGCTAACTGCAAGGTCAACAGTTCAAAACCATCAGGCGCTCCACTGGAGCTTTTTATTCCTGTAAGCAGTTACAGTCTCAGAAACCCACAGGGGCAGTTCTAGTCTTGTCTGCCCTATTTGAGGTGCATTATAAGTTAGAATTGATTCGATGGCAGCGAGGAGTCCGATACGAGGACCCCTGGTGCTGCAATGGTTAAAGCGCTCAGCTAACGGAAAGCTTTTGGGGTGTGGATGTAGGTGTGCATCAGATAGATCTCACCAGCAGAAATGGTAGTCACCTTCCCAAAAGATTAAGCTAATCCTAGGTTGGCATTGCCTAACCTCTTTCCTAGGAAGGCCAAGACAATTTAGCAAGCTCAACGGTGAAAAACACTTGAATTTCACTCTGAAGACTTTGCACACTAACCCGCTGTGGTCCCTTTTAGGGGCCAGGGTTAAGATTCTTCAGCAACTTCCTACCGCACTGGAACCACGTATGGGGACTTTTTAGCCAGACGTTTCTGTAGAGTGTAATGTTTTTTGATTCATTGAATATATAAATGTAATTGTCTACCTTTGCTTTACCTTCATAGGTTAAATTTATTTTTGCTCCATTAGGCTTTTAAGATTAATTAATTACATTGCATTAAATGTTGTTCCCTTTTATGTTAATAATCTCATTGACATAAGTAAAATCAAAATAAATATACGGATTCAAATGAATTTAGATTATTTTCATTGCACATAATTTGGAAAACTGTATGATTTTCTCTCTTTAAATATACTAAGTAAATGTAGTACAAAATTTTGCTTTTTCATAAAAATCTACCATATTTAATACTAAGAATGTATCCAAATTTTTATTTAGTTCCCTATCTGTTAAATCTCCACAACATAACTGTTAACTTCAAAGATTTTTTTGTATCCCAAGACTTAGCACATAACATATATTATGATGAAGTGACTAGGTTCTTAGGAATAATAGAAACATTGATAATAATTGTGACCTCCAATTAAAGTGCCATGTACATTATCACTTATTAGAACACATTTCTGTCTCAACAATGCGAACACACCATTTAACATGGCTTAAAAATATCCTTTGAGTCATGGTGCCCCAACACGCTAGACTGGAAAACACAAGCTTTTCTTGCTTGGTATATTTTAATTTGTTCTTCGTCAGTGGATT